AAACTCTATTCGTGTTGATAAAGCAAGATGTATATTTCACTAAATTAAAAACATCCTTCACAATATTGTTCTGAAGCTATTTTCTCGTAACATCTTAATATTATGTAGTATCTTTAATCGGAATTTCAGTTACTTACGAACTAAAATAGGTTGACGAAGGTTCTCAACATACAAATTGAAGAGTATAATTGCAAAACCAGACATTTGACCTATAAGTTGTTTTGAGTAAATCGCAAAAAAACCTAGCAAAATCGTAATTTGACATCAATGAACATCTTGTTTTAACCAAAATTTTCTATCTTTGATAAAATAGTTACTACTAAACAAATTATAGTAAAAAGATATTTGAAGTGAGGTTGAATGTTCGAATAAATGAACTTTGAAAAATAAGGCTATTATCGAGCACAAGTTAATTAAATCTAGCCCAAGTACTTTCGCTTAAAATAGCATCTTCAGGGGCATCTGAAATAAGCCAAGAAAACGTTTTTTAGATGAAGGAAATTAGTTAACTTCGATAAAAAACTCGAAGTTAATGGATGAAAAAAAAAAGTTTTTGAGATTAACGTTTTAGACTTACTTCGTCAAAATATAAACTATCCGGCAAGCGTAGAATGTGGAAACATTAATCATAACATAAAATTGTACAAAACACTACACTAAAACGAGGACAAACAGTTTAAAATTACTTTAAAGATTCTACGCTACATTCTTTGTCAGTATCTGAAGGGATAATGATCTAAGCGGAAATGATACGGTGACATGTGACATATGACATTTTGATGAGTAAAGTTATGGATCTGTGATCAGCACATATTAAAATTCTGTATAAGTTGTCATTGGCCAAAGGTCCAACTAGAACTACTATTGAAAAAGCTTTTTTCAGTCTAAGTTTTGCTACAATTATTCTTCAGGGATTCACATACATCAACTCAAGTAAATATAATAAGCCTACTAAATAACTTACATGGCACTATGTCCTCCAGCCCGCTGAACCATCGCGCTGAATGAATTAAATAAATGTCTGTAATTAATTTAAAAAAATTCCCATCTAGAAATATCACAATTGAAAGTTTTAGAAATCAAACCCACGCACCACTTTAACAATTCCCAATGATCTGCGTCTTAAAAAAGGGAATATCATAATTAAAGAGTAAGTATTTTTATATATCACATTAATTAGAAAGAGAATATATCTTATCGTTTTGTTGAAATGAAAGCATTTGTTAAAAATCTTCCACAAATTATATCTCCACTAAATAAATTTAAATAAATAAAGTATATAACATTCACAAAATTTACATTTTTCTTTGTTTCCAGTGATCACCTAGTGTAGATTTTAATATACCTCATTTCTTTTTCCTTTTAGTAAATATTTTTATAGCAAAGTAATAAGCATTTTGTGAGTACTTTTACTATTAACCTAATTTGTACATTTTATAATAGAACTGATTGAAGAAAGAATTTGTATTTATTTTTAATCCCTTTTCCTGAAGGTAATGATAATAAAAACCGTGCTAATCGTGTAGAGAACTCCGCAAGGCCACTGAAAATTATGGAATGAAAAGAAAATGCTCGTATGGTATTCATTGATCATTAGTGGTGGCCGCTAAAACAAGAAATTTGTGGTGACTGTCTGGTTATTGTGAGAAGTAGGTGTGATGGAGTAAAATTAATATTAGCACAGGTGTAGGCGAGACATATATCTATATTAATAAAAATGAATCGCCGAAATGTTTGTATGGGCATAACTTCAGAACTACTGCATAATTATTTTTTTTTTTGTAGTGTGTTATTATCAGAGGGTAATTTTAAATCGTAATATAAACAATAGATGGGGCCATACCATGACTAACAAAGGAAGCTTAAGAATAATTAACAAAATAAACGTCAGAATTGATAGATTGGCCTATATGTAAGTATTTGGTATTGTGGTTCCAAATAATAACGATCATAGATAAATAATATTATTAGATAACGATAAAGCTTCAACATATCAGATGGGAGTATATGTCAATGAGGCGGTTTGGAGAATATCTTCATTATCCATATACAAATGACATTCAACTATAATTAATTTAGCTGTCATTACATTATTTTACATATTAGAAAAAACTAAATGTATAGTGATCAGTAAAGAGCCGCGTATATGCAAACTAGAAATTAACGGCAAAATTAGAACAAGTAATGAAATTCAATTACCTAAGAGTAGAGATCACTAGTGACAGGGATATAAGAACAGAGACCCCAAGGCAAGCATCAAAAGCGGCAAGAGTAAGTGGTTGCCTCCAAGAAACCATATGAATAAACAAATATCCGACCACGGAAAGCAAATTGGAAGTATACAAGACAACAGTAAGACCAATCCTAACATATGCAGCGGAGACAAGGACCGATACAAGAAAGACGAAACAACAAATCAACAATATTGAAATGAAAGTATTAAGATCAATAGCGGGCATATCATTAAGAGACAGACAAACCAACAGAAGTATACGCAAACAATGCAAATTCAAAATAATAACAGGTGGATAGAAAAAAGAAAAAAAAACTGGAACGAACATGTAAACCCAATGGGACCATATTTAAATTTATAGTCATCTTACCGATCCTGCGAATATTTTGACTGTCATTGTCGAAAACATAAAAATTCGTTATTAAGTAGCTCAAAATAAACTTACTGCTATTTGTTGAAGAACCATGAGTAATGGGAAGTGTATATTTATTAATTTTGATTAAAAGCTTTACATTTATAATGCTAATATTTATTCGAATATAAAATTTCAAAAATAAACATTTAACCCTTTGTTTTATGTTTTGAGTTTTTACAAATTCGGTTACAAACACAATGCTATTACTGGTTGCATAATGAACAGGTTCAATAATTTTAGTGATTCCAAAACTTATGGATGAAGTAAAGTGTAAAAAATAATCATAACATTTTTCAAAGTAAAAACATGTACGTCACAATTTATATAAAGTGACTTCACTTGTATTTAAAATTTCTAGAATATCAACTGTAGAGTTCAAATTTTCCTAACACAGCGTTATCAATTGTTTATTATTCAATTGTTGAGATTTTGATACTCATTGTTATATGAAAAATTCTATATAAAATCCATAGTCGGTGGTTTCGTCACATTTAGTCTGTGGTTTCGTTTTAGCTAATTTTAATTTATAAATAAAAATTTCACATATGCCGTGTATACCTAATATATTACTGAAACAATTCAAAATTGCTTTTTAACTAAAATTTAAGTATTTTCTATATAACCACTACACCTAGCGAGACTAGCAGACTAGTGTCTAGAGTCTGACCCACTATTCTCTGCAGACTTGCGCAGTTCATTTGTATTCATTTCTGAACGTGTCAAGTGTCAATGAGGTTTATAATATAATATAATATGCATGAATATGCATTCTTTGATAATATCCCTCCTCTAATCTGTGTCTATTTATTAAATGATGAATAGTTCGTCGAAAAGCTCTGTTTTTTTTAATATTTTTTGTTGCGCATATGTTTCCAATAAAAATGTGTTATACAGAGTGTGATGTCATGTAAATACTAATGCCAACTTTATTATTTTAGATTGAACACCAGGTATATTATTTAGTTATTGGATCCAATACAAAATACAAAGAACTTTATCAATATATTGGATTGCCATGCTTTTATTAAACTGTTTTTATTATACAATGTATTAAACGCACAATATCGAAGCAGAACAAATGCAGAAATTAAGGAAGAACTTAAGGAAGACATTGTAACTAAAATAAAGCAATGCAGAGTTAGATGGTTAGGTCACATCTGGCGAGCAGGCGATGAGGCAGTGACATACGCAATGATAGAATGGAATCCAGGAGGAAGAAAGAGAAGGGGAAGACCGAGATCAAAGTGGCTGCAAGAAGTTGAAGAAGACCTCCAAAGGGCAGGAGTCAGTGAATGGAGAGGAAGAACTAGAGACAGGAAAAAATGGAGAGATATTGTCAAGAAGATAAGATAAAACAAAAAAAAAGACTGATCCACTTAAGAAATAGGATCTAGAAAGCATTTGCGGTTTAACCCCACGTTGGGGTGTATAGCCATTATATATATATATATATATATATATATATATATATATATATATATATATATATAATATATATATATATATATATATATATATATATATATATATTAAACGCACAATCCCTTCTATATTAACTTTTTAAATATATAGCCTTTAAGATACCTACTTATGTACATTCCATTTCACACCTGGTAAAAAATATAGGCAGGTTTCATTTATTTGACATAATATCTATTTTAAAAGAATATAGGTACATTATATAAGTACTATATACATTATTAAAAACAAGTTAAGATACGAAAATGAACTCACTCTTCTTTACTGAAATTAGGTATAGAACCTTTTAAAGTCATAAGGAGACACGCAGAGAGTGATTTATTCATTAACCACCCTGTATCCTAAAATAAGTTAATTAAAACTATAACATGCAATATATTAAAGTTCTGGGAATTTTGTGCATAATCCAAAAAATTTATAATATACCTAACCAATGTTTCATTTAAAATAAGAAAGTTGGTATCATAGTAATTGATATATAACATCAGTCAACATCCTTTATATAAAATAACAAATTTTTATTGAAAAAAATGCGCAAAAAGTATTTTTTAAAATACTTTTTAAAACTATTTTAGAAAACCTTTAATTTTGATTTGCTATTATTTACTATTAATTTTAGAGTTATTCTTATGCAACCAACAATACACATAAACCTCATTGTCACATTCAGATGTGGATACAAATAAATTGCGCAAGTCTGCACAGAATAGTGGGTCAGGCTCTAGACACTAGTGACTAGCAGCGCCGTCGCCATTAAGAACGGCTGGGCGCATGCAATTCACTCTTCCCACTTATTCTATTCCAGTTACACTGCTATTTGTGGTTTAAACTGTGGTCACCACACTGACAGCACCGTGACAAGTGACAGTACATAGACAGTTGTTCCGTGGTAGAAGTAGGAGGAAAAGTAAATATTTAGAAAAAAGTGAATGTAAATTTTAAAGAAATATGGCATTTTTAGAGGTAATTAGTTGTTATATTATATCGTCTTCGATGTACTTTATTTTTAAATAATATACATGATTTCAGTGGCGGAAATTCCACTTCTTTAACCTGAAAGGAAATGTTGATGAAGGGAAAATAAAGGAATTGTTTAAGGTAGGTTATTTGGTTTATTTGAATAAGATAATATATTTGAATAACCGATTATGAGTAGTCTCTATTAAGCTGAACTGGATAAGCATTGGATTCCTTTTGCACACAAAGACAAATAAAATTAATATACTATCAATTTAGTTTATGATCATATCCAAAAAACAAAATTTGTTATAAAATCAAAATATACAATGCAGCAGAAAATATATAATTTGCTCCAGAAATCCCTACAATAATACATTGGGTAGACATTCTGTGTTAATACTTAAGTAAGCTTATTTTAGCCTGCTTTAGCAATAAACTTAAAGCTACAATACATTTTTGGAGATTATTATCAGAACTTTCCTATACAATTTATGCCTCATTTTTTCTATGGCTTTAGCCTTTCTTTTATTGCCGTGGTCATTATGTGATTTTTATATAATCACTTCTCTTGTTTTCTTTTTAAGTTTATATCTATTGAGACCTTATGTTCCATTTTTATTATCACCTTTTCCACTTTAGTTTGTTTTTGCAAATTGTAAACTATTCCTATATTATTGTAATACAGTGGAACCTCGATTATCCGTCTCTCTATTAACCGTCACCTCTGTCAACCGTCAGGGTCCATACATAAGTTATATTGACAACATAAGTAAAAATTTAGTCAATTCATTTTGTTTGCAAAAAATTTTCCACCAAAGACGATTCTCATTTTGTACAATGCACCTGCCTATCCTACAGTCGGTATGCTGCGGAGTGACGATAAAAATATCGCGTACTCTTTTCTGCCTGTGAATACAACATCATTGATACAGCCAATGGATCATTCGGTCATTAAAACATTCAAAAGAAGATACAGAAAAAAAATTATTCAAAACCTAGTTATGGAAGAGTAATATTCTTTGACAGAATACTGGAAAGCATGCAATTTAAAACACGCAGTCGCAATGCTGTGGATGCTTGGGCTGATGTTTCGGAAGTAACGCTGAAAAGAGTGTGGAATAAATTATGGCCTGAATCAACTTAAGATGAAAATACTCCCCTTAAATAAAGTTATGGCTAAATCAACTGTTTTGTTTTCGTTGCCTAAAGATGACATAAACGAACAGTTAATTTGTGATGAGGACGCAAACGGCTATCAATTGCTGACAGCTGATGAAATCGTTGAAATGGCGACAGGGGCTGACGAAACTGATTCAGAAGATGACAGAGACTTTGATGGTGGCGATGTTGATGATGCAATTACAACTCACATAGATTTGCGTAAAAAAGCTAGAGGAGCTACATCGCATAAACAACAATTCATCAAGTGGTATTCTCGGGGAGAAGAAGCAAACAAGGTAGATTTGATGATTCTAGTAGATTTCGGAATAATTTAAATGAAATTGATTCGACTGTACTAACATAAATCCCTCTTAAATTGTCAAATAAAACATACAAACAAAATTTGAGAGTTATATTATTTTTTTTTAATGTTCTGTTAACCGTCTTTTCGATTATCCGTCATACCCTCGGTCCGGTGCCCTGACGGATAATCGAGGTTCCACTGTAAATATAAAAAACCATTGCATTTATATTGTTATATGTAACTGTAGCTCTGAATTATATTTCAATTTTGACTGTTTTCTCATATTTATATATGACAACAATTTGTATTTTAGGAATCTAAGATCACAACAACTTCAAGTGGAAACAACCACCTAGTGTTTAGTGATAATCTTGGTCAAATTTATTTGATATCACGATCGTGGCAAGTAATATACTTTAGAGGATATGAAATAAATGTAGAGTTAACTCAGCAAATGAGAAATTCACCTTTGTTAGTAACTATCGGGGTAAGTTTACAAATATGATAAATATGTAATAATAATTATTAAAATAAATGTTTTTTAGCAAGATGAACCAGGTGTGAATCCTTTAATAAAAGTTTGGGATACTAGCAGATTAGACAAAAATGGAGTTCCATACTGTTGCAGAATTACCCGAGCACTTCCTGGAAATAGACCTGTACAAAGTAGTGCTTTATGTGTTCACGAAAACTTACAAATGATGGCAGTGGGATTTGTAGATGGTTCTCTACTTATTTACAGGTCAGTATTAGTATAGATTTATACAAAGGCCTTTGATAATGTTAGATGGGACAAACTATGGAACATATTGACGACAATGGGTGTACCTAAACACTTGACTCACCTTATTAGCAAACTGTATCAAGATAACCTGGCATATATTCAAATGGACGGATATCTGTCTGACAAATGCACTTTGGAGAAGGGAGTACGCCAAGGATGCGTTTTATCTCCCTTATTATTTAACATCTATTCGGAGTTCATAATGCGCAGATTTTTGGATGGTTGGGAGGGAGGAGTAAACCTAGGTGGTGTTAAGATATCTAACTTGCGTTTCGCAGACGACACTACACTTCTAGCCTCTACTCCAGAAGAAATTATTAAATTATTAAAAAAACTCGAGGTAGAAAGTGCTAAATTTGGACTCATGGTTAACTACAACAAAACCAAAATCATGGTTATTGATCGCCAACAACAGTTTCCTGAAACCCAAACTATTGCGGGATGCGAGGTAGTCTCATCTATGATATATCTTGGAGCTCTAGTTAACAACACAGGCAGTTGTGAATCCGAAATTAGAAGACGTATTCAACTAGCAAGAGCAGCAATGAGTGAACTAAACGGGGTCTGGCGTGATCGTCACATTACTATGGCAAACAAAAAGAGACTTGTTTCAACTCTGGTCTTTTCCATATTTTACTATGCATGCGAGACATGGACAGTCAAAGAATCAGATCGACGACGTATAGACGCCTTCAAAATGTGGACATGGAGACGCCTGCTTCGAATTCCATGGACGGCTCTCCGTACAAATATCTCGGTTCTGGATGAAATTAAACCGGATCAGCGTATCTCCAGTACCGTTTACTCTAGAATTTTAAAGTTCTTTGGCCATATCCATCGAAGTGATCACAAAATGGAGCAGTTGGTGGTCCAAGGAAGGCCTCAGACTCAACGCCAACGCGGAAGATTTCCACAGCGATGGGCGGACATTACTAAAAAGCTTCTCAATAAACAGTATACTGAGGCAATACATATAACTAATGACCGCGACCAGTGGAGAAATATTATCAATCAAACTGTCCGAGCTGCTGAAGCCCAATTATGAACCACAACACATCTACTAAGATGTTAATGACTGTGATGATGATGATGATGATTAGTATAGACAAATCCTACACAAATGGTAATAGAATCTTTCTAATCCATATTTTTTTTAGAGGTGATATCACAAGAGATAGGAGTTCTAAGCAAAATCTTCTGAGGGCAGCAAATGCGATCATTACAGGATTGGCTTTTAAAACAACAGCAGCTAGTATATTTCTTTTTGTTGCAACAGAAACATCTGTCCTTGTTTATAATGTTACACAAAAAGACAAAGAGCAAAAGGTAGGTCATTATTTTGAAGTTAATCCTATTTTAGTCAGATAACAGTTTGGATGGTTTTTGATGAAGTTAAAGAATAAGCCATGAAATCTAGCGTGTTAGGGGTTATACTAGGCATGTTTTGGTGATACTAGTGTATCACCTCTTTCTACCAAAAATTATAATATCTTTGTAGATATTTCTTTTTCAAGAGGAAAAGTTAAAATCAGTTAAATTAATTGATTTTTTTAGTGGTTGTTAAAAATAATTTTTAGGCCTGCTGTATGCTATTGATTTATTAACATTTTTTTGTTTTTAGTATCATTTGGATAATATTGGTTGTACCAAAAAATGTAGTGTACTGGCTGATTCCATGCAAGAGAATCATTTTATGATTGGTAGAGATGATGTAAGTATTTGTTTGACTTTTTTTACCTAACCTTCTATACTGGGATTATATTACTTTTTCCTCTATAGTAAAATACAAAGGTGAGCGTCACGGAACTAGAGCCAGAAGGTGGCATAGCCACATTTAGCAGCACAAAATAGTGGTTTTTCACCTTGATTGACTACCTGTTCACACTAGTTTAAAGAAAAACTGCATGAAAAATAATTAAGAAAACATTAAATGAGAAGTAAAAATTATAAGAATATTTGTCAATAAAAGAATAGATTTGTAATGATTGTCAAAATTAAAAATAGTATATGTGGCAAAAGTTTTTGTTATTACTAAATTTTTGCTATCAGTCGCTATAATAGAATCTTCTCATTTCTTTGATACAATAATTCCAGATCCGCAGGGGTGAGTTGTGAGTCAAACATTTTCATGTATATATGAATACAACATCACAACATTGTCCTTATATTCTGTGTATTTAGAAGGATTTTTTGTCCTCTTTCTTAGCTTCTGATTTGTATGGGTTTCATTCTTTCAGTCTTGATTTTTGTGTCTACCTTTCTCTTACAGCACAACACACTCACGTCTTGAACAATTTCTTTTCAATTAAATAATATTTAAATTAAACCTATTAAACCTATTTAAAAAAATTGAGTGTATACTTATAATAGAACTATATATTTTAGGTAATTTATTGCTACACTTCTGATGGTAGAGGTCCATGTTACGCAGTAGATGGCGAAAAAGTAATGTTGGAATGGTTCAGAAATTACCTCATTATTATATCTAAAACAACTCGTTCTGCAAACTTAACAACCATGCCTACAGAAACCCCATCCAACAATTCAGAAAGCAACCTCATAACAGTTTTAGATATACATAACAAGTTTATTGTATTTTCAACTACAATGCCCAGAATTAAAGCTGTTGTGAACGAATGGGGTGCTTTTTATATATTGGATGAAAATAACAAACTTTATCATTTGGATGAAAAAGATTTACAGTCCAAGCTGTCATTACTATTTAAGAAGAATTTATATGATATTGCAATTAGGATTGCAAAGAGCCAACAATATGATACCGATGGTTTGGTTAACATATTCAAGCAATATGGGGACCATTTGTGTGAAAAAAGTAAGTAGATCAAATATTCGTAAAAAAACCTTAATTTAATAAATACCAATAGAGTGTTTACTTAACTTGTAACCACCGAACGACCCATTAGAAACAGTGGGTGCCAATTGATAACAGTATAACTACGTCCCAAAAGTTGGGAGCCAATTGTTAGCCCTCATCTAGCTCAGTACCTTAGGTGTAAGAATGTCTTATTTTAGGACATGTAAACCTAAGATATTAACTAATATATTAAATTAAAATCAAAACTATTCTTGCCTACAGCTATACAATTTTTAAATGATACTTATGGCTTCTGATGTTATCTTTAAGTAGTTAGATGCAATTGCAGAATCCAGTTGTTGGTTGCTAATTCATTGTTGATATTGCTATTAAACTTCAGGGACATATTTAGCAGCTGCCTTCTGCAGTATTTTACTTCCAATGGTCAACCATGTAATTCTGGAAGTCTTCCTCCAAAAAGGTGGACAAAAATTAAATTTTAGGCAAAAAAACTAAAATAATGAACCTTGTGTTAGCGACTGCATAGACTTTAAAATATTTCCTTACCATATGAAAATTGAAAATAATTTAAACCTCTGCAAAACAACCAATCTCCATTGGATATTTTGAAATGAACAGACCAGGAGATTGGTTATTTTGTAGTAAAAACACAAATGTTTAATAACAGTACTTACTTAATGTATTAAAATAATTATTAATACCAAAATTCTTTACTCTTAAGACTTCTATGTCGTTGTCATTATTGAGTGGTTCGTAATAAATGTCTTCTTCTTCAGGGACACTTGGACCATTTTCGTAATAAAGGACGTTTTTGAAATAAGCCAGTTTTGGGTCATTTTGCCATTCTTCACCGTAGTGACTTTCCAGTAGCAATAATTCAGGCTTAGATTCCTTCAATAATGCAAAAAGGCTTTCGATCTAAGCTTTTGAATTCTTTTAGCAGCCATGAGGGATTGCTTCACCGATGGTGTCGTTTCCTTTGAGATTTTTTCAGTGAGTGAAAGACATCGAACACATCGTCGTCTGTTGCCTCTTAAATGAAATGTTTAATTTTCTATCAAAAATCATTCGAAAATATCCATTTTTTACCTAAGTCTCTGGTTTGGCTTGAGCATTGAAAACAATTTTTGAACTGGTTTTTCGATGTATAGCTAATCGCGTAATCCAAATTTTATGTCGTAAATATAATTTTTGATCACATGTATTTAAATAGTTTAACTTTTCAGGTGATTTTTCTGGCGCCATTGAGCAATACACAAAGACTATTGGAAAGCTAGAACCGAGCTATGTAATCCGAAAATTCTTAGATTCCCAACATATAGAAAAGCTTACAATGTATTTGAACGCTTTACATAAGCAAGGTCACGCAACAGAAGATCATACCACGCTGTTGTTAAATTGTTACACCAAACTAAATAACTCTGTCGGTCAGTCCGACAGTTTGAAAGAGTTTATTTTGTCAAAAGATGGAGATTTTAATTACGATGTGGATGTTGCCATTAAAGTTTGCAGGTATGTCTTAATGCTATGTTTGCCTCTAAATATATACGAAAACGGTAACGGTTCTTGCTTAAGTTTTAATACGAACAAGAGAAAATTAATATTTATCATGGAGAATCGATATAAAACAAAATATGAACCATTTTTTTTCACTCAGAATAAAGTATCTCTTTAAAGTATATGGTTTCAATATATCTCACTTAACTATAGAGGTGTACAAATAAGGTTGGGTAAAGTAAAATGTCATTGGTTGTATATTTTAGCCGGTAAAGTCAAGGTCATAATTTGTTTACATAAAAACATTAAGGTATAAACCAGTCATATTGTATTTCAGTCCTTCCAACTGTTACTAAAACTAGCCTACCGTTTCTTTTGAGAATCTGATGGAATCACATTGGACGTTGATAAGGTTTTATGTATTGCTGTCTAAGAAGAAAGCTTTAGAAACAAATTACAATAGTATTGGGATGTTTTTTTTGTTTTTTGTTTTTTGGATATTCTTGATCTATTTCTATGTATGGTCTATCTGGCCAAAAAATCTAATTTCTCCAAAATCTTTTTGGTTTTAATCGGAATCAGTTCGAACCGCCGGAGAAGTAGAGATACCAAAATAACTGTTATATCGTTCTATTGATTCCGATTTAGGGATTCTATAGTATTCACTGCCTTCCTTCGCTCAACCGTTTCCATCTCTCTCTGTTGTCCCATTCTCATCGTTTATGCCTCTCTTACTCATGGTGGTGTCTACTTCGTTCTTCCAGGTCCTCTTTTACTCCTTCCTATGGGGCTCCATTCGGTTATTCTCTTCATCCATCTGCTGTCGCTACTTCTTCTTACACGTCCATATCACTTTAGTCTTTTTTGTTCTATATATGTTAGTATGTCTGTTTCTATTGATATTCTTTGCTTTATTTCGTTATTACTTCTCCTATCCATTCTTGTTACCCTGCAGCATTTTCGCAGGCATTCTGTCTCTGTTGCTACTATCTTACTGCTGATTTTCTTGTTTATAATCCAATTTTCAGCCTCATATGTCATAATACTTCGCACTAATGTTTTATAAATCTGTGTTTTTGTCTTCATATTTAGATGTCTATCCCACCATACTGAGTTAAGTGGTCGGATTGCTGTTCTTGTTTGTCCTAATCTTTGCTTAATTTCTTCCTCCACTATCCATTATTTATAACTCCACTCCAGCAGTGGATATGATCTCCTATTGTTTCTGTTCCACTTCCTTTGTTTTTGGTTTCTGTTGTTACTAGTATCTCGAGGTTGCTTTCTCTAAACTCCTTGATCACTTCCGTCGCCTTTTTGTTCCATCCTTGTATATTCCACGTTGCACATATGAATGTTCTATCTTTTCTTTGTTTTGTTTTTTGGTTGAGCTTTTTGGGTCTTCCGAACTCTTCGCAACATTGCCCCCTATATCCGATGGGGCTCCCTCTATCAGAGGCGTGGATTTCCACCCGGGGATGTGTTTCCGTATTTGGCTTTTTCATCTTGCGATTTTAGTTTCTGTTGGTTCTTCCGCCCTCTCGACCATTGTGACCTTTCCAACCATCCTCTGCTTTTGAGACCGTTGACCGGTTTTCACCTGTGCCACAGACAGGGACCTTATCAGCCGTGTCAGCTGAACCCTGTTTTTGAAGTTATACTTCTATACGCACGGTCGGCGTTGGAAATTTGCACGAGAGTGAATCTGCGAAACCATTACATATGTAAGATAATGAGTAAGAGAGAGACAGAAGATATATTTTCTCTCTCGAGAATAAAAATGTTCATTTTGTATATATATATATATATACATATATATATATATATATTATATATATATATATATATATATATATAATATTATTATTTATGTGATATGTTTTGTATTATTTATTAAATGTTCATAATTATTTTAGGCTTTTGTATTTCAAAATAATCACTGTATGAAAGACAACTGTCAATTTTGAAATCCGTTAGTATCATGTCTAATTAGCAAATCTTTTACGTGTTTGGTTCATACGCTGGTGTACGTGAGTTCAAATCCCAATATGAATTTCCTTTTTTATTTTTGAAATATTTAAAAACCTCACGTTAACGTTATTAAATATATGTAATATACGCAAAAATGATAAATTTAAAAAAAAAGTGAAAATTTACATCCTAATCCGCATTGTTGGTTTTTTATTTTTATCTTCGTAAAGTAAGTTATGTATATTGGCAGTTTTAAATACTTATGAATATTGCATTTTAATTTGTATTGTATTATTATATTGAATTACGTTGCAGTGTATTGTATTGTAATTTTTATATTAATAACAAAATAAATAATGAATTTTACGGCAGAGTAGGTGTAAAGCAATTTTACTGCAGAGTATGTGTAAAACATTACTTATATACCTAATTCTTTTTCTCTTTCTGCTCTCTCTTACCTATAGCATTAAATATGTAATAATTGTGCAGATTGACTCCCATATAAATTTTTAATGGCGAACGCCTGTATAGAAGTATAACTTATACCGGCAGTCCCACTGGACTGCCACACTCGTTTTTTTTTTGAGGTGTTACTCCTCTGTCCCTCTGTTAAAGACGTTTAAATGAAAGTAAAATATTGCATTTCATTTCAATTCGAATTCCACCATTGTTCTACACGTGATGATGAGTTATTCAATTCCTCATCAGGAACACTTGTGAAAGCTCAAATTGAAATGTAATGCAGTCTAGTAATTTGTTATCAAAGAGAGGTCTCCCGACTTCTTGTTACTTCGTATAGATGCCGCTGCTAGCATACCAGGCTGTTACTTTAATTATAATGGCCAAATGTTAGACTGCATTTCATTTTAGTTTGAACTTTCACAAGTGTTCCTGATGAGGAGTTGAATAACTCGAAACACATGCAGAGCAATGGTGGAATTCGAATTGAAATGAAATGCAATCTTTACTTTCATACCTTGGAATCGGGCCGTAAGAAATTAGTAACATTTGTTTATTAAACTTTTCAATTTTAGACAGGGCAGTCCAGCGGAAGCGCTAATGCTGGCCAAGAAACACGAAAAACATGATTGGTACATAAAACTTCAACTAGAAGACCACCAAAAATATACCGAAGTTATTGATTATATCTCCAGTTTAAAATTTTGGGAAGCTGAGGATTATATGCGAAAATATGGTCCAATATTGGTGGAACATGCACCGCACGAAAGCACACAACTTCTGAAGAGGCTTTGTACTAATTATTATAAACAAACAACGAACAACATGCAGGACGCACTAGGAGGTAAATTACTTACACGATTTTTCGCTTGTACAGAATAAATAATTTTAGTCTTTATAAAACAGTTATGTACGATCCAAGGCCACCTTACTTACAAAGCCGTGTTAATGTAAATTTGGCAACGTTGTAGGTATGCCGGTTTAATAGCTTATTTCTACACTTGACAATTGGACCGGCGTTATTAGAAGTGCAAGAAAGACATTGTATTATTTATTTATTTATATTTTAAACAATTATGTTGTATTAAAATCATTTAACAAATTGTTATGTTTGCTAATGACACCAGCTGATAACGTATCAACATATAACGTTGTATATTTCGTCTGCATTGTTGCCAAGCATACGTTGTTTACTTCTGACAGCCCGACTTTCATTAAATTTTGTTAACAAATTAATTCCAGGTAGAAGTTATTTATTAAAAAAATATATGAATGGGCGAAAATCCTCCATTAGTATTTATTATACTAGATTTTTATGATTTCTGATTCTGATATAGTTTACAGTAGACTCGCGATTATCCGAGGTAATTGGGACCGTGACTACCTCGGATACCGAAAGAACTCGGTCACTGAGATTGGTTATACTGATAGAAAAATGTGCATTTATGTTAATAATGATTAATGTGTTTATTTTAATAATTAAAAACTAATATAAAAGTAGTATAAAAAATAAAAAAATTAATTTATAAATATTTTAAAAAGTCTTTGATTGATTTTTGTTTCAACTTCATTCCTCTTTTTGGGGCGACGATGTTGCGCCAACGTTGAAAATGAAGGACGTCTAATAGTGTTGATTCTTCTTGTTGCTCAATGTATACGAGAGCTGCTTCAAGGGACTTAAATCCTTCGGAATGAGAAATCCTTTGAGTTATCCCATCTGTATCTCCTTCTTCTTCTTCATGGGTGACGTTTAGACCTAGATTGGCAATTGCGTCATCTGTCAGTTCCACTTCTTCATCTAGATTCATCCAATCGATGATGTCTTGGTTTACGATTGTTTGTTCTACTGGAAATTGATTGGCTAGGTGGGCTATAGAATCAACTTTACAGTTATCAGTTTCATTTTGAACGTCTTGTGTTTTATGTAACAATAAAACACTGAAAACTTTGTTTTCAAACTTCCACAAAATTTATTTTAAATCTTATCACTACAGCTGTTTCGGCTGATAGCCTTTCTCAAGTGATTTATTTTTATCTTGGGTTTACAAATTTATAGTCTCTAATGAAATAGGTTGAGGAGGGGAGGTCTTGTGTTTTGTTGTCTATCTTAAATAATTTTTTTCCACAACTTCTGAGTAGTGGACATTTTTACGTCGTTCCAGGCAGATGCAATCCAATAGCAAACATCTTTAACCGTGATCTTCTTCAATGCGCTCAATTACAGTCAGCCCTTCATCCAGTTTATAGTTAGCAGTACCTGAAGAAGCTTCCGCCGATAATTCCTCTTCATTCCTCATATAGCGTTTTGGTCTAGGGTTGGATGTCACATGGGGTGGAAGGAACACAGGTTGTATGTTACCACTAATCAATTCCCTCGCATCTGGGTGGGATCGTGCGTTGTCCAACAACAACAAAGCTTTTTGGTCCAATCCACTACCACCACTCACACTTCGGTTTACCCACTGTTCGATTTCATTAACAGTTACTTCTCCGACATCTAAATCTGAAGAAACCTTCTTTATTGATTCACCCTTGTCCAACCTCTTAATTGTATTCACTTTTGTTTCCAAAGGTGCAATTTTTCTCTTCCGCTTTCCACTCATATTGCACAGAAAGATTCTCTTACACTCACAAAAATCAACTTATGAAAAATTAATTATGAAACCGAAACTAATAACTGGAATAAATTCACAAAACAGTACATAAAAGGAAAAATATTACCGTACACAGCAAACAAATCGGTAGTTCAATTCACATTGATTAACATAGAAAGGGACAGGAAGTTGTAGACAAAACCACCACACAGAAATTTCTGCGCATGAAATCTCTTTCACATCAGCTTGACCTAAAGCATACCTTACAAATAATTCTCTTCTTATCAATAATCCAAAATTTTCAATTGATTGCCCATATAACAGCTGCCGATATAACTTCTGACCATCGACCCTTTTTTTATGACCCGATATTGTGATTCAACAAGTACGACTATAAAGGTAAATATAAAGGTAAAACCAAGGCATAATTTTGCCTCGGTTAACTGAGGGGCTCGGATAACCTAGACTCGGATAATCGTGAGTCTACTGTATATCACATACGGTTAATACATCAATTTTTCCATCGGAAATTAAATACAGAAATTCTACAGATACAAACTGGGTAGGATATAGGGAGTCCCTCAGTTAAAATCTCGAGGAAAGTATGACCTTGTTTAAAGGCCCAGAGGTTATAGGTTCGGTGGCAGAAACGATAAGCTATTATGGCAGCTTACCAGGAAAATTTTCCAGAAAAAAACACGGAAAAGTACGGACAGTAATACAGACTGGTGGAACAACGGTTTAAAGAGGATGAGGTCGGAAGTCCGAAGCCTATTTAATAACGCCAAAAGTAACCAAGATTGGGATGCCTACAGGTTTAAGCTAACGCTATACAATAAAGAAATTCGGAAAAACTAAAAGTAATTCATGGAGAGAGTTTTGCGAGGAAATTACAGATATCCTGACATGTTCTCGAATCCATAAAGTCCTGACAAAGGATGGTGCTACACCGAAAGCAGTAGGTTTCCTAAAGAAAGCTAATGGCACATTTACGGACACCAAATAGGAAAGTTTTCGCAGAAGAAACACGCAGTTTCCGGGCTCAACAATTCTGGATGATGCAGATAGGCAAACCAACATAGACCAAAGACTCACCAGGCCAAGGTCTACAGATCGGGAAATAGCCACAGCAATCACAAGACCAAACAGAATTGGATGGGCTATAAATAAGTTTCGGCCATATAAGTCTCCAGGGACAGATGGCATATATCCAATACTGTTGCATATGGGTTTAGAGGTATTGATACCACTCCTATGCAAGCTTCTCAAAACCAGTTTAGCAAATCCAGTTTACCGGAAATATGGCAAAAAGTTAAAGTCATATACTTGCCTAAGGTAGGTAAAGTATCAGACCTAACACCAAAGTCATATAGACCGATAATCCTAGATAATCCAGACCGCTGGAAGCCTTTCCAGCGTTTAATAAAAACGCTGGAAAGGCTTCTTGATAGGTACATCAGAGGTGAAATGCTAAAAGATAATCCTCTAAGCAATCGTCAATATACATACCAACTTGGTAAATCTACGGACTCTGCGTTGGATGATCTAAATAGGCTTATCTCAAAGTTAATGGAAGGCAAAGAGCTTCTTTAGATATAAAAGGGTCATTTATTGCCATTGCATATATGTTACCACCAGCTCTTTGATATGAGCTATGTGTAGACGAGGCGCACCTGCGGTAATATGCAGATGGATAAGAGCATCTCTGGAAAATAGGACAGTAATGTCCACTTTGGGTAAAGCAAAACAAGGAGGAGTTCTGTCCCCTCTACTTTGGGCAACTTTGGTAGATGATCTCTTCAGAAATCTGTCCATAGAAGGATTTTATTGTCTAGTATATGCTGATGATATAGCAATCGTTGGCAGGGCAGGTCTGCTCAGGTGGTGTCTGAGAGAATTCAAGTATCCCTAAATATATTTGACAACTGGTGTAAACAAGAGTGTAAAACACAAATTCGTCAACTTCACCAAAAAAACAGCACAAGGCCTAAAACCACCGGTGCTGGGAAGAACAGATATTTAATTTACCAAAGAAACAAAATACCTTGAGGTATATTTTGATCTAGGCTTACATGGAATACTCACATTCTGAAAAAAAAACACAGAAAGCTACTGTGCCTCTGGATAGATGTAGAAGAATGTGTGAAAAGAATTGGGGACTTAACCCCAAAATGACTCTATGGTTATACACAAGGGATATTACACCCATGGATCGGTGACGTGGTGGACAAAGACGCAGCAAGTGGGAGCAATAAGGCTGCTAGGTAATACACAAAGGCTAGCATGCCTGTGTATAAAGGGGGCCATAAAAACAACTCCTACTGCATCGTTGGAAGTCTTGCTGAATCTATCACTTCATATCTTTATACAGGGCGAAGGCAGATCAGTGATGCACAGGTTAATCCATAGTCAGTGACATATAATCCAGATGCATGGTACTGACAACAGAAAGCTAATCGAGGAGCTAAAAGCCGATATTGTGATGGGGAAACCTATTGATGCAACAGCTACGAGATATAGCTATAATAATAAGTTCACAATTAAGACACCAGGCAGGGAAAATTGGAAATAAAGGTGTACCCGATCAAGCTGCTGCTACCTGGTACACGGATGGCTAAAAAAAAATGGGAGGGTGTGGGAGCAGGCATGGTAGGGACAAATCAAGGGATACATTTCCCGGTAAGTCTATCTAAGGATGTGACAGTTTTCCAGGCGTAAATAACGGCAATCCATCACAGCGTGGAAGAAATAGAAAGGCGGGAAAGAACATTCTGTTCATTTGCCATCTTCACAGATAGTCAGGCAGCGCTTAAGGCACTCAATTCTGTAGAGGTCAATTCTAAGCTAGTATGGGATTGCGTGTGTGCCTAAATAAATAGGGGGCCGTAGCAAGGTTACGGTAGCAGTTCTGCGGCGTTGCAAAGTCAGTAAGAAGGACGGCTACAAGGAAGTGGGTAGCTCACAAATCTCTGGAATGGTGGAGGAATTCACCAGGACAAAGACAGGCGAATGAGTTCATTACAGAACATTTGACAAAATTTATGGCAGACCTAATAAGCAAAGACAGGAAAACAGTCAAAGCCATAGTAGGTTTTCTAACAGGACACTATAAGCTGAATAGGCACTTGAAGCTGATGGGATTATAAGATGATGACCTGTGCAGATTCTGTCACCTCGAAGATGAAACAGCAGAGCACATTTTATGTCAGTGTGAAAAGGAGAAGAAAATCCACGGCAATAGCTACATGGAAGGTACAATTTCGAAGCTACTAGACTTTATAAAAAGGGTCAGGCTAGAGAATGTTATCTAGGACTAAAGGACCACAATAGATCTGAAAAGTCGCAGTGGAATAGGCCGAAAGGCCATCTCTCCTAATATCTAATCTAATCTACGGTTAATATAATCGGTTCGCTAATCCCAGTCCGAACTGTCTAGTGATTTTAGTAATTATGTTTTTACGAAGTTAGTTACTTTTTGACAGACTAAAAGTAGCTGGAAAATTACTATACAACCAAGAACACGTGCTCAAAACGCATTTCATTGTATTATTTCGTCGACCTCTTTTGCAAACTTATACTGTGATTTAGAAATTTATAGCATGTACAAAGAAAGTAAGTCATATTATATATAAAAAATATAATTTATAAAAAAGTTACGGTAATTTAGTTTATATCGTTAGGTTGCGCCAAATGTAGGCAACCAACTTAACTTTTTGTTAGCATTTAGCTGGAGTTTGTTGAGAATATATTTAATAAAGGTTTAATATTTTTCAGGTAATTTATTATTTTTTTAAAAGTGATGATAATAATGCTGAATAAGCAATTTTTCAAATGAAATATAATCACAAGACGTACCTAATATTGTGTTATATAATCCTCATAATAAAGTACCTTAGATAAAAAATATAATATTCATATTATAATTCAAAAATATCATAATATTCTATTTTGGACGACCCGGAATTTTACCTTTTTTATCTAACTACTATGAGGATTATAGAACACAATATTAACTACGTTTTGTGATTAAATATCATTTTAAATGTTGCTTATTCAGCATTATTTCATCACTTTTAAACAATGAAATTAACTGGAAAGTGTTAAACTTTTATTAAAAAATATTCTCAAAAAATTCCAGCTAAATGCTAACAAAAAGTTTAAGTTGGTTGCCTATATTTGGAGCAACTTAACGATATAAACTAAATTACCGTAACTTTTTTATAAAATATATTTTTTTAAATATAATAGAAACTTACTTTCTTTATACATGCTATAAATTTCTAAGCGAATTAAATTTTTGACGCCATGTCAAACTGAACTGGACGTTAACTGAAATGTTTTTTTATTAAGAACATATTTACATAAATATATTTTAATAATCAACCTACACCGAATGAGCAAATAATTAAAAAAAATGGTTGGTGTTTTGAATAAATCTTTGTGCAGTTTGATTACCCAACAAATAGAAAACTTTGACTATCCCTAATAATAAAATTCAAAATAGAACAAACTAATTAACTAAATATAACTAACAAAGAATTAAACAAAAATAATAGAACAATAAAACTATATTAGCTAAAATAAACAACGCGAATAATACAAATATTTACTACAATATGTTAAATTGTAACAACTCAAATATTATATTTTAAATATACAGGAAAATTTTTATGGTTTAGAGTTTTTAGAAGGTTTAGAACCTGCAACACAACAATTCCTACTGAGAAGTAGGAATTGTTGTGTTGAAGATTTCCGACAATGAATCTGTCAAAATATGCCGAGCTAAGCGAATGAAGTATACACGGTTTTGTATACAAACTACAAATAATATTTTGTGAGATCAACTACACTGTCAGACTAAATATTAAATTAATAATAAAATATAAATAAATATCATTTGATAGTCAATTTTTTAACGTTTTTTCTTATGTAGAAATGTCCTGGTGAAATAGTTTTCCATAGGGCTTTTACCACTATTTTATTTTTTAACTTATTGCTAATATGAAAAATTTAACTATTCAATGTCCATGATTTAAATAAAACAGAATGAAGTTTATTGTTTTTAAGTGTTTTAAAATTATATTCATTTCAGAGAGCAGAGCAGATCCAGAAGACTTTATTCATTTGTTTCTGAACCATTCCGAACGACTAGTCGAATTTTTAGAATATTTAATTAATGAAGACGTTCTCCTCAGCATGCCAGTGTATAATACATTACTCGAACATTATTTACACGTATGGGCAAGTTTGGAAAATATTGCGGATAAAAACAAATTATCTCAAAAGATTTTAAAACTCATGCAAAATCCCGATGTTAAATATGACAAATCTCAAGCGTTAGTTGTTTGTCATATGCATTCTTTTAGGGAAGGAATTTTGTATTTGTATGAAGAACAGAAACTGTATCAGCAAATTTTAAGGTTAGTTATTCATCAATGATAAAATATCCCAGTGTCGTCAACAAACAGTAGTATTTCTTCTAGTGGAACTTTATCGAATTTAACCTCCTATTTAACGCTTCAGTTAACAATATAATAAACAGTTTGTTTTAGTTACATGTCGTTTCACACAATTATTTTAGGTATCACATTAGCCAAAACGATTCGAATTCAGTATTAGCCTGCTGCAGAAGATTTGGACATCAAGAACCCACATTATGGGTGCAAGCTCTCTGGTCCTGTGTTAGAGAAACCACAAAGCCTTCCTTGGACTTACTAACTGAGGTACGTAGATATATTTTATGGAACAGACCGAAAGATCTTTTTCATCGGCAACACTGTTATATTCTCTAATTTTAATAACATCAAACACAATAATACTACTTACCAAATCAACCGGTGGAAATGGATATACTCTGTAGCGTTGCGAAATATATCTCGTGTATGTTCATTCCTTCGACTTCTAACCATGTATACGGGATGTGGGCGTGACAAGTTTTGACTAAAAGTAATGAGTTTTTAGTAAAAGTTATGTTAAAAATCTGAAATTACGAAGCTGTATGTTTTGGATGATACTAAGTTGAACTATAATGTCCTAAATGTGGGAGTTTCGGTTATTCCGGAAGTAGTCGTCAACTTTGTTATTTTAAATAGAACCTTATATTTTTATTTTATTTTCGAATTCTACATGATATTTTAGATAAAATTTGTGCACATGTCCTATACTATTTTCCCATAAGTTGAAAAATTCCTAGTGCACATTCTTCTTCTTGTTCCTTCTCCTATCGGAAGTTGGCTGTCATCACAGCTATCTGTACCTTATTGGCGGCTTCTGAAAAGATCTACTGAGCTGCAACTATACCACTCTCTTAGGTTTCGTAGCCAGGAAATTCTTCGTCTTCCTATGGATTTTTCACCCTTGATTTTACCTTGCATTATAAGCCTTAATATCCCATATTTCGCACCTCTGGTAATGTAGCCTAAATATTTCAGGTTTCTTTTTTTGATGTGCTTTATGACCTCGTAATCCTTTTGTAGCCTTCTTAACACTTCTTCATTTGTACCTCGTTGGGTCCATGGTATTTTCAAAATCCTTCTATAGCACCTCATCTCAAATGATTCCAACTTCTTTATATTGTCCACTTTTAGTGTCCAGCTTTCCATTCCATAAAACAAAGTCGAGAACACGTAGCATCTTAAGGCTCTTATCCTCAGCTCCAGAGAAACGGTCTCGATTAACAAACATTGTTTTCATTTTTATAAATGCTTGTTTTGCAATTTCAATGCGTCGTGTCCTTATTTCTCTATCTTGGTCATTGTTTTCATTTACCCAGGTTCCCAGATATTTGTACTTATTCACTCTTTCTACTTGTTTTCCCTCAATATCTAGCCTTCCTACTGTATAAAAACTTATGAAATCATGATGCACTTTTCTTAACATTCATTTGTAGTCCATATTTTATACTGACTTGATGTAATCTATTAATAAATGTTGCAGTGCTTCTAGACTGTCTGCAAAAACTGATTCCTTCCTTAAAAATAACTTCGCTGTACAGATTGAATAACAATGGGAACAGCACGCAACCTGTCTACACCTATTTTGATTTCTATAGTATCTGTAACCTTCACTTTTCGATTCTAGTACAGATTGACAATAACCCGTATATCTAGACTATCCACATTCTTTTCTTTTAACAGTTTTACGAGTTTCTGATGTACTGTATCGAAGCCTTTTGATAATTTATAAAGCAGACATAGAGGCAGAATTTATATCTAGTCATCTTTGCGCGAAAGAGACAAAACTAGGTGATAATGCAATAATTGTCTCAAAATCTATGGTGTTGACGGATTATTTTTATTTTTACAAAAAGTTGCACTTATTTACAAAAATTAAAATGTGTTTATAATAGCATAGAATAAATAACAATCAGAATGCCCACTCTCAGATGCCGCCTTTGAACTGTGTCATCGCCACATTTTAAACGGAAACATAGACTCGAATTGAGAAATTCGTGACAAGCTACGACAGAACTGGAATTTAAATTTTTAGAGATTAATAATTTAGTAAATTTGAAATAATTTAATCTTTTCTTGGTTGAGTTTACCGAAAGTACAAGCTGATTATAGTCGCAAATGTCAAACATGGAACAACAAAATTCGGTTATAGCAGTGTTGGCATGTTTTTATAGTGCTTCAAATATAAAGGGATGAAGCTTTAGAAAAGTACATTTTGATTATATTATGTTATAAAGTCTGCAATTTTTGAATTGTATAAAACAAGAATGAGTAAATATTTGTTTCTTTGGGGATTAATTGCAGTTAATTATTAGAAAACATTTTTGGCAATTGCCCTTTGATAGATTAGGGGATAGATTTGGCAATCGTCAAATCAGCAGTTGCCAGATTACAACAGGATGTTTGCAATTAATCTCGAAAAAGACAAATATTTACTCGTTATTGTTTCATATAAATTAAAAATTGCAGAATTCATAAAATAGTACAGTAAAACCTCGATATAACGAACTACTTGGGGGGACGGGGGTGTCCGTTAAAGCCGAAAGTCCGTTATATAAAAATATGTTTAAAATAAATCAAAATTCCTTTTTTTGAAAATCAAAATGTATGTACACTGTATTTAGACATATAAAAAATACAAAATACAAAGAAAATTCTATTTAATTGTCTTCGGATAATCGTCAAGTGACGTTGCTGGACATCGACGCGCTTGCTGTCGGTAATCCTGTTTTGAAAAAGTTTCGTTTGCACTTTCGATGTTTTCTGTTTTTTTTATGATCAACTCTCTAAAATTACGAAAATGCGTAGAATACAGTTTAACTATTCGATGTATAATCAAGAAATGTTCTTAAATCTTCGAGATGCGATCTTACAATTTATTTTTAACAGTCTTTTTTGTTGTCTTGTTCGCTATCTTCACTTCCATCCTCATTTTTTAGATTCATAACTTCATCTGATATTTCACTTTCAGTGATAATGTTATACCCAGGGTCACCTTCATCTACTTCTAGCCATTGTAAAACATCTTCCTCAGCTACATGTTCTCCGACATTATTAAGGCTGTTTTATCGGTATACCAAAACTAGAGATAGTGTTTTCTCTGTTATTTATCGACAAAATGTCTCGAAATTTGGACACGTTATTCAAAATTATGTTGCCTCTAAACTGGTGGTTTTACTTTTTTTTTATTTTTTTGAAAGTTCTTTTGAAATATCGGATTATACAGTTTAACGTTCTATTATAATCAAACATTTTACGTCCATCACTTGAAAGAGTTTTTTTTTCTGTAATCGTTGATTTTTTTTCACCTTTCTGTGTCCAGTAATAATTGAGAAAAGCGTGTTTAAACTTTGAAGAAAATTGCTAAACAATACTGAAATCTAATAGTGAAACGTGTTACTCATCATTGGCACTTACTTCCACCGTTATCGGCTTCGTGACGTCAAATCTCATGAACGTACGGTCAGTTAGTTCGATTTGAATTCATTTTCAAGCTATAACTGCGAAATTGTTTATTTCTTTGTGACAACAAATTGTATTTTTTTTGGTGATAATATTTTTATGTTATTTTAAATTTATTATAAATAAACACCATGATATTTTTTGCAGTCACGTTTCACAAATTTTTATTCAATACTATATTTAGCTAAGACATATAAATTAAAAATGTGATAATTCTTTTTAAAATACCTACGATAATCATTCAAAAAAGGTATCCCCGACAAAACTAATTTGAATGGAGAATAATGCATTTATTGTCATTAAACTACCCGTGGGCCGGCACCACTGTACCCGTAGTCGGCTGGCGTAAGCAATGTAGAAAAGTAAATGATACGCCCATTTCAAATCACAGTGTGTTTTGACTGCTAAAACAGCCTTAAGTATTGTCCTACTGCAGTCAGTAACTTTCAACCCTTCCAAATCTATTCTTTTATTCATGATTCCGTGCTTTTTGCGAAAGCGCCAGAGCCATCCATCACTTGCTCTGAATGGTATGTCCATATGATTTGCTAATTTAATTGCAGCATGATTATTTGTCCGTTATATCCGAAATCCGTTAAATAGAGGTCTGTTATATCGAGGTTTTACTGTATAATCAAAATGTACTTTTTAAATGCTTTCTCTCTTTATATTTGAAGCATACAACATATGCATAATTGAAAAATTCCTTACAAAAACACTGCCAAATCCGAAATATTTTATTTCATAGTTGACATTTGCGGCTTGTACTTGTATTCAGCTTGTACTTTCGATACACTCAACCCTTTTCTTCAACTTAATAAAGTATGACATAAAATATTACATTATGTCTATGGTTGCCGTAAATAAATTAAACAGTGTTCATTTTTCTATGCACACCAGATAAAATTTCACTGAATAGCACTGGTTCCGTTTAAAACATGGCTGATTCCGTCTGCGCGAACGAGATGCGCGTACTTATCTTGACAAGCAAAGTGGGCATTCTAATTGCTTTATTATTCTGTGATAATAGTTCATATATCAATTAAATGTTTTAAATTAATGTTAATTTTGAACTTTTTGGTCTTCATAGCTGTAATATCTTTGTTTCAGATTTTAACTGTGATAGCTAAAGAAAAATTATTCTCTCCGCAACTTGTAATTGACGCTATAGGAACCGGAAATGCAGAAATAACCTTAGGTCACATTAGATCTTATATTACCAATGAACTTCAACAAGAACAGAAAAAAACCAAAGAAATTGCTGATCTTACTTCGAATTATCGTAGGGATACTCATAAATTGAAAGAACATTTAGAAAAACTTAAGACCGGTGTTATAGAGATACGAGGCTCAAGGTGAGTTATTCTCCACTACTTTTGCTAAGATTATAATAAATTTACAATATATGTAAGCAGTAATATAATCAGTAAATAATTTACCAACTAAAATGAAGCAGATACAATAGTTCCATAGTTCTCTTCCGCGTCCTCTCGTTTTTACCTAGAAGTGCTAATATGAGAGCTGTTGCCTTCTGTCAAGCCATGAAGTAAAAAAGGCAACACCGCATTCTATGACGTCGGTAGTCCCATAGTCAGCTGTAAGGTCTACCAGAAAATTAAACTAATTTGAATTTTAGGAAACTGATATTTTAAAAACTTCAATTCATTACAGAAATATTTTTAGGGAAATTAAATTAATAAAACCTTATATACCTATTATAAATTATATATATATATATAAAGTTTTATTATTATTAAGGATATATTATCAATAAAATAATCAGTAGAGTAAAATTTATTGCACTTAAAATACAGTTTCAAACAGTTAATCTTACAATCAAATGCAGTCAAGAATCTCTAGAAATTTTAAATATTAAGTACTTAATCATATAAATAACACAATACATTAACACCATATTTAAAAAGATTATTAAAAATACAAAAGATATAAAATTTGTTAAGTAAAAACTTAGTGTAACTATTATGATTAAAAAATTCATCCTAAGAAATCAGGCACAATATAAATATGGTTCTAAATTAATCTAATCGAAAATTAAATATTTTACTATTTACATAACTTTTGTTGAATTTTCATACTTAGGTATACGAAAGTAGCAATTTTAAATATGAATAAGTTTTTTTGTCATATAGACCAAGTTAAAGGAGGTATACATAAAAAATGTGTTGAATGTAAGATACCATTAAATAACTTTATATCGATTTAAAACAGCCTATATTCTCAAAAGATTTTTGAATGTAATACTCAAATTTGTTATCACTTATCTAAATAGCAGATCTATATCGAGAAAGTAAGTTTTATAATTGTGACCATCTTGTTAATTTACTATATTGTAAAATCCATTTCAAATCATTACTACTTAATCTATTCTTACCTATATTGACGATTACACTAAAATTACTGCTAACTATTACACTACTTATTACACAAATATTATCACACTCATGTCCCAACTGATTAATGTTTAATACATAGAAATATACACAGTAACTTGTAATTTTACTTGTCCAGTTTTTCAATGGGATATTATTGTCTAAGTCTCTTAAAAATTATTCAAATGAATCTATTAAATCATTGTCTAAGAATTCTGTTATCTCTTGTTGCCTCTTCTTATGCAAAAAGTTTCTTCTGTCTTCGGGATTCCTTCTTTCTTTAGTACGATGAACAGTTACATATGATGGTACTTCAGGAAATATATTAGGAACTGCATTGTCTTTTAATTTGGGAAATATTAACTTTTCAATGTGTACATTTCCATCTTTATCTTCTCATTGTTCAGTCCGCTGAATATCATCTTCATGAAAATGTTTGGCACATACTACGGAAGATTTGGTAATTGTATAGCCTTCTCTATGAATAGAGCATAACCCAGTATTAACCCAGTAAGAAGGTATTACCTTCTTTGGGGATCTTTGGGAAACGAAAACGTACTTTCTGCCTGTTTCGTTTTTAAAGTACTGGCCTAATTGGTTTTGCAACCAGGTACACAACAATGCCAGGGCATCTGTAACAAAAAACAAAAGTATTATTATTGTTGCTTTTAGTTTACATATTTTGTAACAAGAAGCAAAAGTATTAATATTTTCAGTTTGTTTTGTAGGTTATATTTATACTTGCCTTTTAAATTGTCGTTAAGAATCTTCTAAAAGTTTTAAACTTAATAAAATTTCACTTATCTTAATATTTTCTAATTGATTTAAACACAATTTACAAATAAAACATTCGAATAAAGTTAAAAAAACACTAAATTCAACAAACTTTACAAGCCTTCCTATATGAAATGTTAAACAAAACAAACCACGGTCGGACTACCACGCGTTGTTGCCAAATTTCTACTTTATGGCTTGGAAGTAAAGGTGGCTGTGCTTCTGTTCATTTGCCCATCCATTATTTTGTGCAGCGGCTTCGAATTGCCTTCTGTAAACCAGCCAGGAGATCTAGCCGGAAAATGTAGGAGGCTTAATTAATCCGGCGACAGAGGAATAAATCACTTCTGGTTTACCTTCAATTCTTAGTTGTTTGGGGTCGTTTCTTTCTCTATAGGTACGGATATTTTCAATTGTTCTCGGTACCACATGATGTCTTTTCTGTACTAAACCTCTTGTTACTTCAATTCCTTTAATCACGTATTCTTTTGCCATATCTTGATTACTCATCTTTGAGGCCTCTATTTTTGCTATGAGACTCATGAGCAACTCGCTGTCTTCTCTATCTATTTTCAACTTACCGTCGAATCATATCTGGAGAATAACTTCTTTTCGCTTAATCCAATTTCTGACACCAGTTGTAACGTTTTTATATTGATAATTGTCGTTAAGAAAAATTCTCGCTGATACGTACAATTGCCAATACTAATCTCAGAGCCCGTCCCTACCCTTTATATAATGAGAACGAACTGTCTCGAAAACAGCTGACTGGGCGACGGTCCAAATCATCGGGAAAGTCCGAAATTCTGAAGGTCATCACTTTATCGGAAAGGATTCTCGACTTTCCTAACGCACAGAGTCAGAATCAGGGGTATCTGACACAACAATATGTGTAAATCTTAATATCTAGTTAGTGAAGAGCTTTTAGTATTCTTGTTTATTATTTGTCACTAAAAAACCCTAAGATCGCTTCCCTATTTTTATGCTGTTGTTCATAATTGGTAATAAGTACCCATTTTGTAATTAATTGATGGATTCGACCGTTACTTGATGGAAATTCATTTTATGCAACAATAAAACACTGAAAACATCGTTTTCAAACTTCCACAAAATTTATTTTAACCTTTTATCACTACAGCTGATCGGCTGATTGCCTTTCTCAAGTAATCTATTTTTGGCATGATTTTACACTTTATAGTCTCTAATGAAATAGGTTGAGGAGGAGAGAACTGTTTGTCTCAAGTTGATCATTCAGAATTATATCTGTGTTTTTTAATATGTTAATTTCCATAGTTTCTAACAAGGATAGCCTAAGGCCTTTATTTTGAATGTGAAGAATTTTAAATTCGTCATTAAAAGAATGATTGTGATCTAGAAGGTGAACTGCGTATGTAGAATCTATTTTTCTATTATTGAAAGCCCTTTTATGTTCTGCTATTCGTTTAATAAAGTTTCTACCAGTTTGTCCGATGTAAGTTTTTGGGCAGTCGCCACATTTAAGTTTGTATACACCACTGTGTAAGTGTTTTTTATTTTGGCTCTTGTTGTTTTTGATATATTTGCCTAGGTTGTTATTTGTTCGGAAATCTGGTGTTATTCCTTTCTTTTTTATGTGTTTGGCTATTTTTGTTGATATTTTGCCTGTATATGTAATCGAGCAGAAGGTACTGGGTTTTTTCTCTGGTGGTGGAAATATTAATTTCAGGGCTTTCTTGTATAGTTTTTGATTTAACATTTTGTTAATTCTTTGTTCGTTGTATCCATTGTTTACTGCTATTTGCTTAATGATAGTTAATTTTGTCTCAAAGTTGTATTTTGACATCGGAATTTCTGTTAATCTATGTAACATACTATGATAGGCTGCCAGTTCATGTTGTGTTGGATGGTATGATGAATTGTGTATAGTGGTGTCAGTATGAGTATGTTAGTGAAATATGGAGAAGTCATGTTTGTTTTTGAGTGTGATAATTTTTAAATCTAAAATTTTTTTTGAAACACTATGTTTGCTTAATTTTCCCAAAAAAATGTGTTAAAAATCTACGTTTATTGCCAAACTTGTCATTAACAAAGTCAGGTCAATAGACAGTAATCAAGGCAATGGTTTGAACACCCTCAGCGAAAATTGGTGGTGACTACAATACCAAAAAGCCTTATAAATAATTAATCTCAAATCCAACCGCAATCACGACTTTTTTCAATGGCTCTATATTATAAGTAATGCTCTATTCAATTTGTAGGTGTGCGGCATGTCATCATACTTTAGAATTACCAAAGATTCACTTCCTCTGTGAGCATAGCTTCCATCAACACTGCTTTCAGAGTTTTTCGGACGACGAAAACGAGTGTCCCACTTGTCAACCTGAAAATAAGAACCTCCTAGAATTACTTAGAGCTAGAGAATATAATAAAGATTTACACGAGACGTTCCACTCGCAATTAGAAAAAGCTCACGATGGCTTCTCCGTTGTCGCAGAATATTTAAGTAGAGGAGTATTCGACAGATTCAAAGTAACTATATCTTAATGTTTTTAATATAAAAGTAATATTCCGTGAATATACAGTGTTGGGCGAAATTATGAAACCAAATAAATATCTTTGAAGTCAAAAAGACGATATTAATGAATCTTTTCATGCAAGTACAACGACACGTACCGCATTTAATGCAATATATTTTGTTACTACTGTACTTATGCAATTTAATTGGGACGCCTTGTACATGTTTGCATATTCCAAAATATTCTAATTCATACATATTGTAGCGAGATTAAATAAAACGAGCGGTTCGAATTTATATAAATATATTTATTTATAAGTTCACAGTTCGGTACTCTCTTAACAACTAAACTAACTCCTAACATCGTTAAATATATATACCAAAGTTACTATGTTCTAGAACATTCCCACCTCTAATTCGCTTACGTGACGGATTGTTCTCTTGCGTTCGAGAGATCTGTGAATGGTTCTCGATGCCTGAGATGCTGCTTCGAGATGCAACCGTTACACGGACCACGCTGAATGCATGTTCGTAACACTGCTCCCCTCTTAGATCTGAGCGTCCCGATCAGCAACTCTATATGTATGCCCAGGATGGCGGAATCTACAGGACTCTCCAGCTCTGCATGAACCCCTCAGAAAGAAATAACAGTCTACTGTCTTTAAAGGACACGATCTCTTCGGATTAGTGCAACACACAGTAATTCTTACACCGGTTTCTCGTAAGATCACTTCAAGCATGCTTCTGACAATCTTCCAATCCAGATTATCTAGTGCATGGCCTATCTTGGGTAAAGCCAAATTCTTAATGTCGTAATTGCAGACGATTTTCTTCAAATTAGTTAGAGCACACCATATATCCTCGTAGGTTGCCCTGTCTGTATACGACTTCCTGGTCACCATATACAGCAAAGATCGAGAACCATCTTCTAATCTCAGTACTCTTCCAACTTTAGGCTGCTGGTTTTTTAACTCGTCCAAACGACCGAACTTCTTATTTCCTTTAGTCATCTCAAGATCTTGGGCAACACAGCGGACTAGAGAGAAGTTATGCGGAACACTAAAAAGATCCTGCTGAACTTCTGTGATCACGCCGAATCTAGCACTCTTTCTCTCTGCGTAATTTGACATAAATTCATTAAAGCTTGGTCGCCGGTCATCTTTGATCTCATGTTGAAAGGTTCGGACTTCTGTTTCATTTGAGCCAGATTAAGGTGCAAGACGATTTATGTGAACTACTTTTGGTTTACCTTTCGGCAACTTCTTAATTCGGTATATTACGTCATTTATTATCTTTTTAATTTCATACGGACCCTCCCATTGTCTTTGCAGTTTAGGAGACAAGCGACGACGACATTGTGGATTATAAAGCCAAACAAGATCACCTACTTCATAGCTTTCATTCTTGCATTGAGAATCGTATAGATGTGGTGTTATTCCTTAAATATTAGAATTCACATATATAAAATATTATAATTCATACCCGTGTAACATTTAACATTTTGTTTATACAAATATATTTAGTAATTTGAATCGAGGACATTCATAAATAACATACTCTAATTAGAATTGGTAGTCAGCACTATTGCCGATCACCACATGCTTGGCATAGGTCATGAATAAACTTGACATACTAATAAGTAAACATTTGCTGATATAGCAAGGACTACTATAAAAGCCCCAACAATCATTCTCTCAGGGATCTTAATTAATATGCCGACACTATGGCCAGTAAGGCATCATCTATCGTCATCGTCAATTAAGTACTGATATATTTAAGATTAATTAATAGTGAAAGATTGTACAAACAGTGATTAATAAATGGGCAACTAAGTTACAACATATTATTTACTACCCCACAACATTATTTATTACATTGATCTTTCATTCTGTCACTGGCTAACTGGATGTGTTGTCGGGCAAGTTCATGAATGTTGTTCATTCTTAACTTTAGGCGATCGACATAATCTTCGCTTGCAACATGTCATCTAACGATCGATATCCACGGATGGAGTCCCTTTGGTGTACAAAAAGCGAATTATTGTACGAATCTTGCACTTGCGAGGAATAAAATGGGAACCTCCATCTCGGATGCCTGCTATGCTGTGATAGCCCTACAGCCAGGAAGTATAGAGAGTGGGGAACAGCCGCGCACAACGGTATTGTCTAATTTCGCTTCATACTTTCACGTGTGACTGTACCTCTTTCGGTACCTTACTTCTGTCATATTTATAAATATTTTTAATTTTCAGATAATAACAGATCAAAATATCCCGAAAACCTTAGAGATACCTGAAAAAAACAACAACATGAAACAGGAAGCCAAGAAAATTGAAAGAGAGCTACTAAATTACGGAACAGGTGCTGAAGCTCGTATAAGACAAGCAGAAGTGAAGAGTAAACCAAGAGCTATGCCGATTTCTGAAGGAAGAATGCGATTACAAGAGCATAGGTATGTATAAACATTTGGATATCTACTGCAGTTATTTTTATTATTGTAGTTATTATAATCCTTATATTGTATATACAACCTGGGTAATAATATATCATCAGTATGGACCTTGAGATATGCCGATGACACGGTACTAATCGCAGAAACTTGGGAAGATCTTCAAATACTAATTAACAAAATAGTAGAATGCAGTGAAGAACACGGATTATCACTTAACATAAGCAAAACAAAAATAATGCTAATATCTAAATCACCACAAAACTTCCCTGAGATAACCGTGCATGATCAAAGAATCGAACGTGTAAGAAGATATAATTACCTGGGAACTGTTATCAACGAAAATAATGATTGCTCTGAAGAAATCAGAACCAGAATAGAGAAAGCTAGAGCCACATTTACTAAATTGAAAAAAGTGTTCTGCGGAAGAGATCTAAGTCTAAAACTTAAAATTCGCCTTTTGAGATGTTACGTTATGTCAGTTCTCCTCTACGGAGTGGAAACATGGACATTGAAAAAGATCGATACCAAAAAGATAGAAGCATTTGAGTTGTGGATGTATCGTAGAATATTAAGAATACCCTGGACAGAGAAAGTAACAAATGTGGAGGTTTTGCGGAGAGTGCGGAAAGAGAAAGAGCTGATACTTACTGTTAAAAAGCGCAAACTACAATATTTGGGACATGTTATGAGGGGAGATAAATACCAGTTGCTGCAATTGATTATACAGGGAAAGATAATGGGAAAGAGATCTATAGGAAGAAGAAGGCATTCATGGTTGAAAAACTTGAGAGAATGGTACAATTGCACCAATTACCAACTGTTTAGATCTGCAGCATCAAAAATACGCATAGCTTTGATGATAGCCAAACTTCGGAACGAAGACGGCACTTGAAGAAGAAGAAGTATGGACCTTAATTAGGTTACAATTTCGTCAAATAAAAATGCGAATTTGTAAATTTCTCATGGATTTAAGAAATGTACCAGTATTTGTGTCAATTAGTGTTTTTTATTGGCTTTAGGTTAAATACCCACACAGCCAGACACAAATTTTTAAAAACAGAGACAAGGATTACACTCTTCTCGCCCAGGGGCCGATCAGAGCATTTTTGTCAATTAGTGTTTCATTTTTAATATCATCATCATCATCCAGTTTTAAATGGCAATATAACTGCGCCACTAATCGCCATTTTTTTGAATAAATTCAATGTTGTTAATTCAAATATGTAATAAGGCAACCCTAGCGCTGTTTCTTACGGATAAGCTGGATCGGAAATAATCGTCTGGCGTTGACTAATGGGCGTGCATGAGGAATGTGGAAGGGAGACCAAAGGGAAATATGATTGTATTCTTTGTCCATTCGCTGAAAATATGATTTCATATCTGTGTTAGATATCTTCTTTAAGTTATCCTTAAAAACAATCATTTAAAATATAAATTTGTGGACTGTTTTTTACCAAGATGAAACTTAATTGTAATGTTTCTATTTCTCAAGTGAAGTGATAATTTCATAATTAAATTATACAGGTATATATTATAAGGGTACTAAAGTAGATTAAAAATAGTACCTATAATAATAGGGGAAAATTTTAAATTTCTTGTTTAAAAGAATAATCTATCAATTGATGGATTACAAAATTGTTATATAAAATTAATAATAAAAGTTAAATAAATGAAAATTCATTTTAGAATGCATAAGGTCACTCTTTTTCCTCCAAAGTCTCCCACAATAATTTAAAAAGAGGTTTATAGTTACAATTGAGATTCATTTCTTTAGATATCTCAAGATATTCTAAAAGGTTCATTTGTCTAAAAATTTTATTTGGTATGTTATTAAATTTGGAATATAAAATTTTATTATTTTCTGAAGAAGAAAAGAAATGCTTATTAAAGTTGATGTGATGGCCAAAGTTTGATTTATCTGTCGTATTAAGATGTTCTAAGGTCTAATTAATATGTACATACAGTATAAAACCTCCAAAATACCCAAAATAAAAAAAATTTTCAATTACTTATTGGCATTTCTAGATACAGTTCATCTTTAGAAGCAAACATGACAAAGTTTGTTCCGAAAAAGGTAGAACCAAAAGCAATGTCGAAGAATCCATTTGATGATGAGGATGATGACTATGATGAAGATAAAAATCCATTTAGAGATGAAGATGAATCTGATAAAAATAATCCCTTTCGGGAATTTTAATCCAAATACAGTTTCATATTTACATGTTTTCGTACGTACTGCTGCTATTTTTATTGAAATTAATATATTTTATTTATAATGTAATATAAGCTTATTATTTAAAACTAATATATACTAGCATTATTTGTAGCTTTATTTTATGAATTAGCTTCCTTAATACACATTTACATAAATATAGTGATAAAAGATATAGACAGCTGCATTTATAAAATTCAAATTATGAGATTTAAAAAAAAACTGTATTTAATGAAATTTTATTGGGTGTTCCTGCACACTTGAACCAATGGAGAAACAGCCTCTGGGTCCCTGTAAGGTGAAATGTAAATAAAAAATGGTCAAAATTAATTTTAGCACATGTCCTGCTTTAACGGTATATTCGCCTCACTATATCTTAAAGCAAAATTATTAAAACCTACCAATCTGAACCTTCTATTATATTTCTTACCGCAACTGTATAAGATTATACAGGATATACTTGAACTTTTCCCTATCATATCACAATTTGTATCTGCCACCTAGTTCTTTCCACCTCGTTTCTTGACTGCAAGCGATTTGTAATCTTCTTCTTTTAAGCGCATCTACCAACTCCATACTCTTACCTGTAAGATTTCCAAGATTCCAAAACCTTATCCTGATTTTCCAACCTGTAATGGTGTGTTCCCCCTGAAATAGTCCTCAACCGGATATCCTTATAATAATTTTGGATAATCATATAATGTTTATTAGATTGCTTCCATCAGGAGTTCCATATAGTGGAATAATAATCTCGTTGAAGGATAAAGATCAAAAAGAAATAAGAGAAAAGAACGAAATCCTAAAAGAACTACAGACTATGATGATGCAACTATTTAAAGCTTCGAAAAAAGTAGGTCTTAAGATAAACTTGGAAAAAAACAAAAATAATGACAAATACACCGAACATTAGAGAATGTCGTTGTAAGCGAATACATCTACATGGAACAGATAATGAAAGTTAAGAAAGAAAATCAAATTGCCGAAATTACCAGAAGTATAATTAGTATGGGCAGAATTTGGAAAACTGAATTTTATCTTGAAAAGCACTAAAATATAACAATATTTAAAAACCAGAAATTACAATCAGTGTATCCTCGCTATATTCTCGTATGACTCACAGACATGGACACTCACCAAGTCTAATATGGATAAAATAGTAAAAGCACAAAGAGCAATGGAAAGATCAATGCTGGGGCTTGCTGGAGAAGCTTCGACTCTTAATTCTTAATGATCTACTCCCGTTATTTTCCAAGTATTTAACTCATGTGCGTTTGTTTATGCATTTATGTTTTACTAATATAATTTGTACACCATATTAAATAAGCTTTTGATTACATTGCAAATTTCACTAGGTCAGCATCTCGGTAAGCGTGTTCTAGTTATACCGACATTTTCAATGCCATAAACAAACAATCGCATTGAGCAATAAGCAATGATTCATATTATTAAAAGGATTTTAAATTTTTAAACTGATTGGGTTACTTAGATCTGATTTCTGGATGCTTAATTAAATCCCATTACATCCTAACGGAGGCTCAGTTTGCTTCCGGAACATTTTGCATCAGAAGATGCCATCATTCCAGTATAATTTTTGTTATATTGGAGAAAGTATTTTAATTATTAGGACATTTGATGCCTCAATTATGTGCTACCCGATTTGGCTAAAACACCTCAAAGTTCAGTATCACCCCACACCCACTTACATTTTTCTGTATAGGCCAGAATCTCGACTGGCCCCTATTTGCAAAATGATTTTAAAGAAACAAACTAAGCGGCAAAAGTGTTTATTTAAGAAATAAAAATAAACAGTAAAAAAAATAAATACTAGAAATTACAAAAAAGACATTAACGAATAAATATGGCAAAATAAATTACAACAGATCTTGTTAGATTATACTAACAAAATGTCTGCCTATTGACCTTTAAAATGTCATTTAACAACCATTCATTGTCGCGAAAATGTAGTTCTTTAACAAAGTGTTCTTAAAGTTAGTGAAAAAAAAAAACAGAATGTAAAGTGTTAAATTAAATCTAATATTTGGATGAATAGATAAAACTATTTTTGTTTTACTATCCTTGTTATACAGTATTGTAATATTCAGAGGATATTTATCTGCGGCAGCTGTTGCCTAATCTTGTGAGCTTATGACATTAAAACGGCACGTATGGAAAAAATAAAATTCGAATTATTTTTACAATTTTGTGGCATTATTCTCATAAAGGTGTTTAATAAAAATGAATTTACTGAATCATTATTGATTTCATCTATTTTAGAATTTTACATATTTCATCTTCTTAAGACAGATACCATATCTCAATGATTTATTAGCTGCAGTTTTGGAATATCGATGTAAACGTTAGAATGGCAAAAAGAGACAATATCGATGAATATTATCTGAATTCCTTTTCGTCGCTGATATACAAGCACAATTACATAATTACAGTCTTTAACAGTCACAGTTTACTCTGGGACTATGCAGATTCGGACGCAAATGACGACGCATTAGAAGCATGGTCCTTACGTTAATCCATGATCCCAAACTTCGACCAATTTTTCAGAGCAAAGTTTATGAAAGAGGATATAACTCCGATATCTGTTTTTCAAGTAACAACCTCGAAGACCGATATACCAAAGTAGTATATGGCCCCATACCAAAAACTCAGCATAGACCAATTGATATAAATATCTTTCCAATTGTCAGACCACAAGCTATTCTGTTCAGAAGGAGATTTACCTTTAAAAAGGCAAACTGACAAAAGTATGCAGACATGCTAGATTTTGAGCTGCTACGTTTTATATTAAAACGGAATTATCATGCAACCAAGATGAAAATATTGCATTGTTGCAAAGCGAGTTAGAAAACGGACATGGCTAATGCGACTAACACAGTCCTGCGTCGCATCAGTAGGTGGATCATGTAGAATGATCTACAGCTAGCGCCTCAGAAAACTGAGGTGTTAGTTCCCAAAGGGACCGGGAAAAATCCTCCCTTCGCTTTATAGTGGAAGGTGTATAATGGTGAATAGTGGTTAAGGTTTTAGCCGGAACACGGTTAAACCCTGGTGTCTTCTGGCCTAGTATACTCTTCGGCCAAAAGATGACAGGATGTCTTATTCCGTGACGTATATGTCCAAAAAAGATTTCCCCCACCGTTGCCTGTCAGAATTCGATGGACACCATCTTAGGCTCTTACTGGAATGTGGCAATAAGGCAATTAAAAAAAAGATGAAAATATAAACATTGCTTATGGAAACAATTGCTGAACAACAAGAAAAACTGCAGCATATCATTGAGATAGCTTTGAGATTACTTAGTCATTCGTAGATATTAATTTGTTGAAAATACAATTATTTCTTTAAACTTTGAAAATTAAGGCAATTATATCGAGCACAAGTTTAATCAAATCTTGCCCAAGTACTTTCGCTTACTATAGCATCTTCAGGGGCATCTGAAATAAGCCAAAAAAACGTTTTTTAGATGAAGGAAATTAATTAACTTCGATAAAAACTCGAAGTTAATGGATGATAAAAGTTTTTTGTGATTAACGTTTTAGACTTACATCGTCAAATATGGGCTATCCAGCAAGCGTAGAATGTGATGAACATGAATGTTAACATAAAATTGTACAAACACTATACACTAAAACAAGGTTTGACATTGACAAGTAAACTGACATTGACCAAACCTTTGGTCAATGTTAGTTTACTTACACAGAATTTTAATATGTGCAGATCACATATCCATGACTGTGACTACCCATCAAAGCTGTCATATGTCACATGTCACCTTAGCATTTCCGTTGAACACCATTATCTCTCCTGTTACCGCCAAAGAATGTAGAACGTAGAAATATTTTAACTCATTTTAAACTGTTTGTCCTTGTTTTAGTATATTGTTTGTACAATTTTATGTTAACATTCACGTTCATCACATTCTACGCTTGCTGGATAGCCCATATTTGACGAACTAAGTCTTAAACGTTAATCACAAAAAACTTTTATTATCCACTAACTTCGAGTTTTTATCGAAATTAATTAATTTCCTTCATCTAAAAAACGTTTTTTTTGGCTTATTTCAGATGCCCCTGAAGATGCTATATTAAGCGAAAGTACTTTTGCAAGATTTGATTAACTTGTGCTCGATATAATTGCCTTAATTTTCAAAGTTCATTTATTCGAGCATTCAACCTCATATCAATCAATTAATTATTTCTTTGTTTATTAGAAACATTGAGTACACTGAAATTTATAGATTTGAGGAAACTTCAAAGTCTCTACTTAACTTTATTTTAATCAATAACTTTAGAACACGCCTGAAATTTTATTCTAAGATGACTGCATCATAACACTATTTAATCTTTTATAAAATATTTTACGTATTTTATTCATATTAAAATCGACTCCATGATGCAGACAAAAATTGTTCGAGAAATAAAAAATATAGATCCAAAAAACCAAGGTAACGGAAAACAAATATAAGTACAATGCTGAAAATAAAAATTAATCTGAACTTTCTTTAAGTTGGACATAGTTTACCAAAAACTCCCATCGAAAAATTTATTTACATCCCACAAAAATTAACAAAACTAAAAACTCTAAATTTTTTTCTACGATTGGTTTACCATGATATTGTTTTATTAGTGAAACAAAATATCAAAATTGGGAAAAAATAAAATAATTATAAAAATAGTCAGTTTTTAAAAATAAAACAATATTCAGGTACAGTATTTTTTATATAATGATCGAAAGAATGAAAATCTTGGCAAATTCCATGAATGTTAATTTTATTTTAGAATATTTCAGTAGTATTGGAAACCAATACTTTTTTGTTGAAAATAAAGTTAAATTTAACATAAAAGGACGGAGAGATGAATATTTTATCTGTCTATTATAATATAATTAATATCTACCAACTTACACCTCTAAACGATCAACAAAATTCGCAGAAAACCTTTCATTGTAGTAAAAGGCACGGTAAACTGCACTGGTGTTCTCCATAATGTTTAAAACTTTGCTAAATTTTAGGTATAAAATAAATATATGCGTCATTAATCCGTTGTTCATAGTTTTGCATATTTTGTTACATTTTTTTAATAAATAGTATTCTTGCATAA